TGCAAGCAACACAAATAACAAAAATTTTGGTTCACATCATTAGACATTGTAAAAGCCTTTGATTTAGCACCCATACCAGCTATTAAGAAATTCCTCAAAAGAATCAACTGTTCTACAACCATTATTAGCCTATTCATTAATCTTCTTAGTAATAGAAAGGTCTCCATCAATACATCATTTGAAGCAATAGAGCCCTTTACAGTAAACAATGGAGTGGAGCAAGGAGAAACATTATCTCCTATCATCTAGGTAATACTTTATAATCCTCTTGTCTCCAAATTAGCTAGCTACAAGCCTATCAGAAGTTATACTGCTTCTAATGTCCTGGCATATATGGACAATCTGGCTCTTATTGCCAATAGCAAACCATCAATGGAAGATATTCTCTTAACAGCTAATTAATTCTTCACAATAAACAATATCACTTGTAACAAAGACAAAACTAAAATAATCTCCAATATTAAGGTCAAAAATGGCTTTAGTAACTCAATCAAATTTGACAACCACCTAATTCAAGTACTCAAACCTCATGAAAGTATCAAATATCTGGAAGTATTTATCTCCTCTAGAAGTTTACTCAAATCTAACAGAAAGGTTTTCAATTAAACTACAGACACTATTTTGAAAGAACTTTCCAAACACAATTGAAAAGGTGAAATCAAACAACAAATTTGTAACTGGGTTATCATAGGCAAGTTTGAATACTTAACAAACTCCAATTCAAGATTAACAAACTTATCAAGTTGGTATACAAAATCACTTCTAAATGTTCAAATGCAATTCTTATCAGCCACAGTGGTCTCAATATGACTCTTCTTGAAGAAAGGCAAAGATTCCCACTAATTGATAACCTAATATTCAAACTTTCCATACTAGCAACCAGAAAGTATATCCTCTAAGATCTGCATTTAATCCAAAAAAATGAATCAATTTGGTTTTGTCTGATTTGCAATTTAGAAAAGTTCAATTAGGATAATTGAATCATCTATATAGTCAAAATCGCAAAAGATCTCTAAATTCAAATCTGTTTAACTGATTGCTTAACATATCTTAACAATACTGAAAACTCTATTGGGCTTCTATTTAAAAGTCTGCCTTCTCCTAATAAAACTACAGCAATTAATACTGCAAATGCTTTAAACATCCAATTCATTAACCAACTTTTGAAATACAACAGCACAGAAAAACTCAGATGACTTCAACTTATATCACATACAGGAATTGTATGATATGAATCTGAGCCTAATTGGTTTAAAGATTTCAACAATTCAAACAATCTTCTCAGAACTCATGGCCCAATACCAAATCCCAAACCTTTATTTTGGTATTTATACAACTTCAACTGTATCATCTAGATATACAAAAAAAGTCATAACATAAATGAAAGGGCAAATTTTAAAGAAAGATACTACTTTATCGATCCAAATAATGTTTTGTCTAGGTGAAATGGCTGTCCACTAGAATTACCCTTTGCTGGCTTTTGCACAATGTCTTTTACAAGCCCTACAGCATCATTATTGTGGATAGTCTCAAACTCCAACAGTCCAAATAAATATTGACTATGCAACATAATCAGTGAACTGTTAATAATACTATAACAAGAAGAAGATATTCTTTAATTCATCGACAACTTTTCCATTTTTCTTTCTATCTCCACACTTCAAAGAATTGGCTTTTGCTAACAGTACCATCTCTAATTTCATCAAAGCAAGATTTTTGCAAACAGTACAAAAATTATTACAACCAATTCAAGATACCTCTAGAAAACTTCATTTATATAATAATAGATATTTTGCACTGGTGCCCATCAAACTGTATTATAGAAATAAGAAGTAACAAAAGAATTTTTTAAGAAGTATTCAACTACTCAAGAAAAATGACAAAAATCAACTTTGCTCTAATAATATTAAGAATTAATAAACTAATACAAGACAAATCAATCCAAATCAGATATACCAGTCCCAAATCCAATTCAAGATTTGATGACCTCTTCAATGAATTAATTCACTACTTCATTTCTCTGAAAGTCCTCTAATCAACAATCTACAGTTAGACACCAGTATCAGGTGATGTAAGAAAATTCTAAGCATTACCAAGACCTATATAATCTGTGAAAGTTCTAAAAACATTTAATTATATCCACAAACCCTACAGCCTCAAGATTATCAACAAATTCAACCAAAAAATAAAGAATTCCAAAATCAATAAGTATGGTGATCTCATTGTCTTTAGAATCAAATTGCTCTTAGGAACTCTTCCTATAAGAAAAAACCTTCATAAACTATATTCAGAACAATACCCTAACCCATATTGTTCCTGGTATAGTCTATGCATCGAGGATATTAAACATGTCTTCAAATGTCCATGAGCTTCAGGAGATATTAGTCAACTTATCAATATCATCAACAACATTTTTTATTTCAATGGTAACCACAAGTAAGAATCCTAACGATTCTCTTCGATTCTATATTTGATTCTCAAGTTTATATTAAATTTAATAGGGGGATATACCCTACCATTATTTTTAATAGTGTTCTGAACCTCATGCAATTTTCTGCAATTCTGTTCGATTTCAATTTTTGGAACCATAACCATAAGCCAATCTCACATGCCTGGCAGCTAGCAGAACTGGCATGCGGCATTACTGACAATATCTTTTCCACTACCAACTTCTTTAATTGGGTTGAAGCTTTAACCGAGACCTTAACTTGTCTATATAAATCAATTTGGATATTCAGCTGTGCCACAGCAAACTTTTCTCCCCTTATTGGTATCAAATGAAACTATAACTCCTACAGCAACATATTAAAACAAATGACCAAAAACCTAGTTAAACCCAAATCTCTCAACAACTCCTCCACTTCAATATTAACTACTATAGATTTACCTACATGTTGTTGATTCTTATATCCAAAGCAGATTTAATTTCACTAAGTGTATTTCCAAATTAATTTCAGATTATCTTAATTTTTTTCCACCCAATGCTGAGTAGATAATCATAGCTGCTTGGAGCCTCTCAATAAGATATATTGTTTTAAAATTTTTTTTCAATATTAGTCTAATGGTTACTATAGGCAAGCTAGCATTTAACTCATTGTACTATTACACATGAGAGATGCTATTTCTTTTACAATGTATATCTATCACTATACAAATTAATTAAAGAAATGATATTTACCTATAAAAAAAAATAAAAAAATAAAAATTTAAAAGTGATGTTATATTTATCAAAACAGTTATCTATATGTGTTAGCATAGAAACAAATGCTCTGATGAAGATACAAAAATAAAGATAATTAAGTAAAATAGAAAATATTTTAGAGCAACAATAGCATGAAAGTGCAATGCTAAACAATAATGAGAATAGTAATACAAAAATTATTTTAGAATAGGTAACATTTCAAAAGTAAAGGCTAGTGAAAATTAAACAAGAGATAGTGATAATTTTGGGCAAAAATCAAGTGTAACAATATAGCTTATATATTAATTATTAATAAAAGATATATATTGTTGCATAATTTTTCTTTTAAAAAAATAATTCAAGTTTATAATTTGTAAAAAATAGTTGTTTTTTATATAATTTTTAAGTAAAGACATTAATTAATTAGAAAATAAAAAAATAAAAAACAATAATTTTTTAAAAAAAAAATCAAGAAAAAAAATATAACTTTGATAAAAAAAAAGAAAGGTTCAAAACCTTGGAAGAAGAAGTTACCAAGTTAAAAGCAGACTTGAAAACACTTTCTGATGCTCGCTCCCTTTACTGTCATAATAGGAAGTTGGAGTTGAAAATTTTAAATTTGAAAATAGGGTGGCTTGGCTAAAAGGACTTCTCTAATTGTTAGAAACTCCAGTCCTAGCTCCTTTTAATAGGTCCTTTTCCAGCTTTGAACTCAATTAGAGGTTTGCTTTTCTCTCTACTAGTTTCAAGTTTTTCCTCTTTTATCATTTGTGGATTCATAATGGGAAATGCAGTAGTTGCTAAGTATGCTTTGTGGGCCAGCTGTAATAGATAGGGAGTTGCTCTGTGGACTACTTTCATTATACTGCATTTCTTGCTTGTTTCTCTTAGTGCTTTTAAATTCCTTCTTCCATTCAAGGGTTCAATGATGTTTGTGTTTAGGCAAGTTGATAACTGGGCTATCATGCTATCTACGTCCACATCGTATAGCCTGGATACTGTAATCTATACAATAGCTAAAGAATACCCTCCCCTTTCCAATATTTCAAAAAGAATGTAAAAATAAGAAATTATTCATGTAATATAAGGCATAATAATAATAAAGAAATAAAAATAAAAGTAAAATAATAAAACCCATCCAATAATTGTTCAAAAATTGTTTATATAAATTATATAATTTGGATATTATAGCCTCAAACACTAATCTGCTTCAAAGGTAATATTACCTAGGGTACTATGACTAACCAGCCCTTAACTGGCATATGTTATGGATTCCTATCTCTAGGAACCAAGGTCGTCTACAGCTATATTTGGATCCAATATTATTCATTCACATAAACTACAAGAAATAAAAAATTAAAAAGGTAATAGGTATTTTCAACTATTTGTTTAATTTCAAAAATAAGAATCACCATACCAATAAAAATGAAAATAAAATAAAGTAAAATATTTTTTTTTGCTCGAAAATTTTTCTCTAATTTTTCTAATTTTTTTTTTCGCTTCTTTCAAAATAAAGTAAAAATAAAAAAATAAAAGTACTGATCAATCAGGTAAAGATAAAGGGGAATAATTGATAATCAATTGATCAAAGTAGAAATTAAAAGTAAAAATAAATATGGTAAGCTAATCTAATGTTATCGTTGAATAAATTCTAAACTATACTTAAACTAACACTATCACATTTCCATTTTTATCCTACTTTCCCATTTATTCATTCCATTTTTTTTTCACAATTTTCCTTCCCTTTCTTGCTTGCGAGTACTATAAGCAATCATTACCCATGGCACGAATCGCGATTTTTACTTTTTCGCTTACACCACTATCCCTTCTTCGTGCTTTCTTTAATAATGATGTGGTCAGTATGTATCTTCGTCGGTTGTAACCTTCGTTGTGTTTTCTTTTTGCACTCTCTTTCTTTCCATCTTTCTGTATACCAACTGGCCTTCCTGCTAATGCTACCAATACGTCGCATTATTTTTACACATTCAGTTTTCGAGACAGTTCCATTAGTTATTAGAACCATCATAACAATGATCATTATTGTGCAGTGTATTAGTTTTGCAATGACGTCTACATATGCTATCATTAACTCCTTGAGTGTATTTGTTTGTCGTCACCATTTTTCGTATCCGGGTGTCCATAATTTCCTTGCATTCATTACCACCATCCCTCCCTTCGTTTCATCCTCCGTTTTATTCTTATCAAGAGGGTCATCAGTTATCATCCCTCTATCCTCATGACATCCCAATCCACTTCCACTCACATCAGGTCTTCCATCAGTAAGTCCATCAGTATTCCCATGCCTCGTGCCACTACTCACTAATTCTCAGTTTGTCTTTTTATCATGTCCTCCTGGGTCATCACAACTTGCAATCGTGATGACACTGGTTGGTACCAACACTACTTCATCCCCATCATCTTGGTGGTTATTAGGCATGCCGACGGTTGTATTCTTTTTCCCATAGTATTGCTCCTACCAATGATCTTTATCCGCTAATTTGTCATTATTTGTAGATCTCTTTTCCGTAATATCATCATTTCTGCTGTCCTCAGGATTCCATGATTCCCACATACTTACGAACATCGTCCCTCCTTCTGTTTTATGCTCCGTTTTACCCTCAGGGGAGTGGGCATCCCGCTTATAAATCGTGATTCATCCTTCATCATGATACCTTAATCCCACCCTATTCGCTTTAGGTTTCTTTATGGTAAGTCTGTCTGTGTTCCAATACCTCGTGCCATTAATTATTAATTCTTCATTTTTCTTTTTGCTACATCCTCTTGGGTCATCGCAACTTGCAATCATAATGTCACTGGTCGGTACCATCACTACTTCGTTCCTCTCCAATGAATGAATATCTCGTTTTGTGAATATGTTCCCATCATTATTATAATACCCCATTTCCACTCCATTTGCATCAGAGTGTAGTTCAACGCCAGGTTCATCATGATTTTCCTCGTTTAGGGGACTATTCTTCCCACACATTTCTTCACGTTTCAAGTTGTATGATGTTGGCTGTTCCTTCATTACTTCGACGTCTTGTTCTTCCGTGACTATTTCTATTTGTTCACATTGTTCTTCAAACTGATCTTCACCCTTCTTCTCAGTTTCGTTAATCTTTTCTGGATTCTCTTCGGTCACTGCCGACGTTTCTTCCAATTGGAAGGAGTATGCTACAGAACCTGGAATCACTGGTCGCACTTCATCATAAGAGTTGGGATTATCATTCGTCTTCTTTATCACTTCCCCTTTGCCATTCTATTCTCGTCTTTCCTTTATTGTCCAAATTTTCGTTCTGCCCTGTGTTCCCGTCACGTCCCTTATTAACGATCTCGTCAGCAGGTACCTTCTTGATCTCATCATTTGAGGTTGGGATCTTCGCTGTGTACTCTTTAGCAGCCTTCTCCCTACTGCCTCTAACAATGTTTGCCTCCTCTTCAGATGCAGGTATATCACTATAATCTTTCTCATACTTACAATACACTCTATTTCTTTTTTTGGTCACCCCTTTTGGGTTACTTGCGGCGGAGATAGTAACTTGGTAATATCTTTCTTTCATTTTACACATTTGTTTTCTTAATTCTCGCACTCGTTACCCTCTCCTGATTTCTTTTATAGCGACTTTCCACACACGACACTTTAATATGTAACATCCACGATCTTGATTATATACTACACCCCCGATATATACTTTTTTTTTACTTTATTGGATATAAGCAACAACAATTAACAACGAAACAAACAAGCATACACGCATTTCCCACATATAGCAGCATTATTGTATATGACACTCATTACCCAATATTTTTTGTGCGAACCCAAAAATAGAAAGATTTAATTAACTATTGTTCAAACATTTGCTGAAACAAGACGTCAAGGCCCATTCGTGATACTCGTGACACCCTAATTAATATTAATAATCAACAGTGTCATGATTGAAATCATATGCAACACAAATGATGAAAGAGCTTCCTATACCTAAGGATGGGTCCCTAAACTATTTAGCATATAAAATTTTGCAGATCAATTATGTCCCTTTTGAAGGGACATAATTA